TGCGGGAGGAAGATGTCACTCAACTGCAAGCTGGGCTCTCGGGGACTGATGGCTATTGGTCTTCCTCCAGCTTCCAAAAACATGCCCATTTTGTCTCTCCGGTAGCTCTCACTGCTAAGTAAGGCTTCTCCTGCTGGGGAGACGTGTCTGCCCAGGCCTGAGGGGCTGCCCAGGACATAAGAATTCCAGTGTCCAGACAGGGACAGTCCTGGGCAAACCGGAACCAATGGTTACCCTACTTATGGGCCACTGTCCTCTCTTTGTTTTCTCCTTCCTCCCGGTCAGTGAGAGCGCGCGACGCATTCAGCTCAAGCTCCCGGCCGCGTAGAAGGCCTCACGGGGGGCACTTGTTTCTTCCAGTCACCGGAGACGAACAGAGAAGTAAGACACGACAAGAAAAATCACCCAGCCTGTCTTTTCTCGGAACGAGAACATCTTTCTAAAACGTCCATGATAAAAAGGCTCGATTACTCCAGCAGCGTGGGTAGGAATTTAAGTCTTGATGCCTCGATCCAGGTCTCGTTAACAAAGCATCAGAAGGCCCTGGCCACCCCTCGCAGGGCCAGTGCTGTTCCTTCCAGCTCAGCCACAGGGGTTTCCAAGGACAAGGAAGTGGGCCACGGCCGAGCGCGGGGCGGTAGCTGGCACGATCGCCGTCCTCCTCCACCCCCTCCGCACTGTCCGCTGGACCCCAGCTCTAGGAAAAACCGTGTTATAACAAGACTTCTGGTTTCTCTAAGACACATTAAAAAATTAATTGCTGAAGGAGAAAATTAATTTTAGAAACACATGAGGTTACAATTTTTTTCCTGGAGGTGGGGGAGGAAATGCAGTTATTTTCGTTTTCGTCCTGGGGGCACAAGCTGGGAGCTGTCCAGTCGATAACCTGGCCATCAGAACAAGGTTTGTAATTAAAAGGTCAGTGACCTGGAAAGCCAGGGCCCCACTCCCGGAGCTTCTCAGTAATGACGGCACTATTAAATTAAGACTGTTATGAAATCAATGCTAAAAAAGCTTTCATGGTAACGAGATTCCACTCAAGGACATGCAAACTACCTCATGAAATGGACGTAAATGATAAAAAAGAAAAGTAATAAAAGAGAGTTAAATTGGAATCTGTGTAAGAATTTACTCCCCCTTAAAATACTCCAGCAAAAGAAGCCCTTCACTTCTCCCCCACTCCCAAGGTTGAGACCATCAGGTTTCTTCCTCAAGTTCACTTCCAGCAAGGAGGCAGTTTTGCTACTGGGGGTTCCGCTTCCAGGAACAGAGAAAGATGAGATCTTGTTTCACCTTTCAGAATGAGAAAGCACAGCAGTGTGTCGTCTTTGTTCAGTTGTCCTCCCCACCCCAGACTTTTTACCAGACAAGGGAGAACACAGCCCTCAACTTGTACACTTCAGAGGGCACAGCAAGCAGAAGTGTCGGCCACGGCCAACACCACCCTGGCCCCGCTGCGCAAGGAGAGACAGGAAAGCGGACCGTCTTGCCCCTAGAAGCCTGCTCTACGACAGACAGACCTACCCGAGTGAGCCGACAGACAGCTCTGTGTCCCTCCCGCCTCACCCACCCCCGCGGCCCCCTGGAACCAGCATGCCTTCTCCCCGCCTTGCACGCAGCCTGCCAAGTATGTTTGGAAGCACACTGCCTCCTATATTTTGTGGTTGGACAGGGTGTCAGATCAACATAAGCCTATCGACAACGATGACCAAGCCTCTGACTCTCTGGGCTGATTCAACTGCTGCCTGTGAGCTACTCTCACTGCCTGGAGTGCAGCCTGCTTAACGCCCAGATACGATGCCTGCCGGGTGAGGACTGCGGCTGCACAGAGACCAGTTCTGTGTGAGCCTGAACCCCGCACGGCCTGCTCCCCTTCACGTCGGGCTGCCTCTGCCACTGATGTGCCATCTGCCAAGTCGAGTGGCGGCCGGGGGCGGGGGGGGGGGGGCAAAAACATCGATTCTAGTCCTCTGAAGGTGAGCAGCTGCTATTCCCTTCTCCCAAAAAAAATCCCAATAAAAGAAATGTTGTAAATTACACAAAATGGCAGTACAAACTTCAAAGAAAATGATAAATGATTCTAATAACTTCACGTTTCTCATTAATGACTCCATATTCAGACTTTAAAGCATCCAAAAGAGATCTCTGAAAAACAAAAATAAAATTTAAAAAAATCACAAACACAAAAGACCTCTGCAAACCCACGTCCTTCTGTCCCTGTGTCACTCTCCACTGCCACTGCCCCCGCCCCCCGCCCCCCAATCAGAGAGCACACCTCGGACCTGTCAGTCAGCAACAGAGGCAGCACGGCCCTGCTCCCGGCTGCGGCTCCACAATAAAACAAACCCAGCTGACGCGCCTCAAGTCACCCTCATTTCCCACTGAACTGACATGCACTACGGGGACCTCAATTTCTATATTAAATATTAAATAATATTAAAAGAAAAACAAAATTGGATTTGCCTTTTCAGGAAAGAGATGTTTATTAAAAAAAAAGAAAGTCAAGATTATAATTCAAGGCAGTGCTCCGCTGCAATCCCCCGAAGGGACGCTTGCCGGGAAAGCCACAACTACAGCAGCGCGAGCGCCCCACCCACTGCTGCGAGGAGCCCCTCGGGACACCCACGACCAGGGCACCCGAGCCCTGGTCCCCACCCCAGGACACCTTCTCCGTCCCCGAAGACAAGTCTCTTGCCTTCCCAGCTTCTGTTCGGGACCAGGGACATGCGTGCTCCTTTGCAAAAGCTTCTCCTCCCACTCCCACCAGCGACAGTGCCAAGCTACGCTGATCACATCCACCTGACCCCCGGGACACACGGAAATGTAAGAGCGAAGTTCATATCCACACAGGGGCTCTTCTTTCCTGGTCGCCAACCAAACCTCAGATTCTCCGCCCACAAAAGGTCCGCTAGAACCGGCCCTACCGGGATTCACCTCGGAAACAAGAATTTCTGACCAAAGGAGTGTTTTTGAAGAGAAGGGAGATGGGGGACTCAGTCCGGCGATTCTGGGTTTCAACACCATTAAACGCCGGAGGAAGCAGGGCAGGAAGAAGGGCGGGACACCTCGCAAGGTCCCGCTGCCTCAGACTCCCAACAAGGCCAACCCGCATGCGGGGCCAAGAAGGGACGAAGCCCACTCTGCCAACGGACACTCGTCTCCTTCGGGTCTTCACTCACAGGCCACCCTCGGGCGATGCGGGCCCCAGTCGCCTGGCTCAGAGGTGCCGTCCTCGCCGCCCACCCCCCAGCACTGCGACCCTCCCCCACTGCCAGGCACTCCCCCCGCCCCCCAGGCAGGCGGCTGGTTTGTCCTGTCCTTTCCTCGTCTGCCTTCCCTGCGAGAACTGAAGCGCCGGGAGGGCAGGAGTGTGTCCCCAAACTGGGTGTTGTGCGGGGTAAGCACTCATGCTCTGGTGACTTAATCCGTCAGCTGTGTTTCCTTCAAAAGGGGCAACAAATAGTAATTGCACAAACAGTTTCCTCTCTACAGTAATTATTAGCCAACTAACTCCAAAGAAGCATTATTTGGTCCAGAGTTTCTCTCTCTCTCTCTCTCTCTTTTCTCTCTCTCTCCCAGTCAGGGATTTATTAAAATTAAACAGATTAGATGGAGCTCCTGATACTAAAACTGCTCAGCAAAGCCTGCGGTGGGGAAGTGCCGGGCAAACACCAGAGACATTTGTCTCTAAATTGCTCTAAATACCTTCTGCAAATGAAATTCTAACCCAGCTGCGTTTGAGAGAAAATGAGGAATAACTGGTCATTGTCAGTGGAAGAGAAGATCAGGCAGTTATAATACTGCACAATGTACGGGGCGAAGGATCTCTCGGCAACCATAGATTTTGTCTCAGGTTACCCCGGGTAATCAACACAGCTTTTAGGCTCAGCTTTCCCCGGCCTCGATGCTTTGATGAGAGAGCTGAAATCCCCAAGCTTTTATGATTAATTACTCCCCATAGGTACACATATTTCAAAGAAAAACTCTTTTATGGCATGATGGTTGCGGAGTGGAGAGGCCAGCCCACGCACTCCAAATTTTAATAATCTCCTGCTGACGGGGGCGAGCAGGGTGCCACCAGCACCCGCACAGCACCCCTCCCCAGCTCGGTCCCAGGGAGCTGCCCGAGGAGGAAAGGCCTGGGCTCCTCCCGCCGAGATTGTGCGCACAGCCTGCAACGCGGGCCTGCAGGGCGACCCCCGTGGGGCAGCGGCAGCAAACCTAGGGCACACCACCCCACCGCTCCCTCTGCTTTTCCAGCCCCAAATGACTTAAAGCTCAAAACCCAGAATTTTGAGGCTGGCATTCCAGCTCTCAAAGGAAAGAGAGTTCTGTTTTGGGGGGAAAGAAAACCCTTTCTTCCCTCTTGGCATATGAGCTTTCTAGAAAAAAATGAGAAGTTTGATTTCTTTTCTTCGTTTATTATTTTTTTTTACAAAAAAAAATATCCTCAATTTCAACAGAACTGGAATAGATTCTGTCTGCTGCAGACAATGCTCAACTTGTCAAGATCCATTTAATCATGCCTACAGAAATAGCATGAAACCCATAATTTACCACTTCAATCCGTAAATCAGACTGACCCCAGGCTTGACCTTAACCTGACCTTGTTTAGTCATCTCATTTCCCTTTTCCTTCATTTCTTTCTTCCTCATGCTTTACTAAGGCAGCTGACCTAAAGCCAGTCATCCAGCAGTCAGGGTCATTATCAGAAGAAAGGAGCAGAAGGCAGAAGTCTTATCCGACAAGCCTCTTCTGCTGCTGAAGCTGCTTGCGCCCACCTGTCCCGGGCTGAGCTGTAGGCCTTACATCTGGAGCTCGATTACCCGCATTAGAAGAAAGAGCCCGCACTCCCACTGGGGGGCACCCCTCACACCCACCCCACACAAGTGGGACAGATGGAGGAGACCCTTTCACCAGCACCGTGGCTTCCACCTTCCCCGTCCCCAGTCTCCAGTCGCTTTATGGAGAACACCATGCATGGCCACGGGAACCTGTACCTTTCTTCTTAAGGAATGCTCTCCTGGTCGCAAGCGGGCTCTGGCGGACACGGGAATTCTGTAGAAACTTCACCGCTGTGGCAATCTGGTGGGGAAGATAAAACAGGAAAGAAGAATAAACTTCAACAGCATGAATGTCAAGATTAAAAATTCTGTAAGTTTATCCCACGTCCACAGAAATAACACACCACTGTGGTCACATTTATTACCGGTTGTTTCTCACACTTACCATCTACCTGAACAGAAGACTGTGTCGGTTCCCTCCCTTTGCCAGTTTCCTGTGTCTGACTCTGTCAAACCGAATCCCCCCAGCCCAGCTTTTGAGACTGCAGCAATCTTCTCCTGCCCTCCCTGTTCAAGCCCACTCTCCACACTCCTAGGCAGGCAGCCCTCTCCTGGCCATGCTCTTCCATGGCACAACACACGTGTCCATGCTATGCCCTTTTTCTAGAAGGCTGCCTCCCTGTCTTGCCTCTACCTGTCTAAACATTTCACGCACACACATCCCCCAGCACCGCCCTTTTACAGCCTGTTCTAACTCCTCAAAGCCCTCCCTAAATCAAGCCATCTCTGATCTGCCTGTTCTCTCAGCTTCCTCGATGCCTGTAGTGTGTCCCGTGTGACCGAAGACATCATCACACTGCCTTCTAACGTTCCGGCGGCCTCCCCAAGCACACTGCACAGTCCCGAAGGGAAGAGACCGTGCCGCCCCCGCAGAGCCTGGCCCAGCGCAGAGCACCCACCACGGGGCTGCCGGTCACGCTGGTCCCTCTCGCACAGCGGCACTGGACAAAGTTTGGGGTCTCGTGGCTAAACGCCGACTGGCTGACAGGTCATCTACCTGCCCTGGCACGACAGTTAAGGAAATCTTTGCATCTGTGAATGAGCCTGGGAGAGGACGAAAGGAGAAGAGTTGAAGGTGTCACCTTCTCGTCGCTCACCACACGCCGAGCGCGTTTGCACGCTGCCTGCCTGCTCTCCACCCCAGACACCAGCACCAGGGGAGCCTGCCCCAGGTAGGAAAGGGGCCGTTTTCCATGACTGCCACCGCTCATCTCATCACGACCAAAAGAATAATACAGTCTCGTGTTACAAGGGAACTCAACAGGCCCTGCAGTCCACTCACAAGCTGGTGAAAGAAAAAATTTTCTAAGGAGCTAAACATAAGGAAGTTCTCTAAGACCCTTCACACTAAGGGCAGCAGTTATATAGAGATTCAAACAGAAAGCACTGTGACTACAAGTGAAATACAAGTTTAAAATATTTTCTTTGTCTTTTATATGAATTTAATCTTGAGATCAGACTTCTCTGATAGTAAAAGCTGTGAGGATAAATCAAAAAGGAAAAGGAAAAGCCAGGGCAATGCCTTACGTGTTCTCCTCGCGGCCCTTCTGTGGGAAGGGTGCCTAACACGGTCCCCCTCGGGGCGAGCTCAGGGACCCCAGCTGTTAAGATTCGGGCCCGTAGGTGACAGGAAAGCTGGTACCCCTGAGACCGGCTAGAATCTGCAGACATAGCAGCTCCCACCGGGAACTGCAGTGACCACCAACCGGTTCTGGGCTAGAAAAGATGGGTGCTCGAGAGCCTGGAACCCCAAAACTAAATACCCACCCCCAGCCTGGGCCCTCAGCCACATCACCTCGGGTTGCAACAAAATCAAGAAAAATCAGGCAAACATCCCCCGAGTGGGTACATTTTAATACAGAGATAGGAGAGGGGAAGGAAAGGAGAGGAAAAAGCCAAAGGAAAGGGCAGAAGGAGGGAAAGAAGGGGAGAAGGAGGCGGCGGCAAGTGGACAAGAGGAGGAGGCAGAGAAGCTGGGGCAGAAGGCGAGGCAAAAGAACAGAGGAGGGGAGAAGGGCAGGCTGGGCGGCCGAGGAGGAAGGAGGGAACGAAAGGGAGAGAGGCCCCTGCCCTGCGCAGAGAACGGACAGTCAGTCACACGGTCACCGGCCCACAGGGTCAATGCCAATGTGCACAGCTCAGAGGGCTCGGGGATAATTGTTCTTCACCTGGAGAAAAAAAAATACACCTCGACACACAAGACAACTGGAGCGTCCGCATCCTGCGGCAGTCCCCGCACACAGGGGCAGGGGCGCCGGTGTCGGTGGAAACGGGGCGAGCACGGTCCGGGCAGGAGATGCTGAGAGCACAGCTTGGCTCATTTACCCACAAGCGCACACCTTTCCCTCATCCTTCCCAAATTTCCCATGACAGAGAAAGAAAACAGGACCCCACCACTGAAACGCATGGGTTTCACCTCGCTTTTTTAATACAGTCCTTGGTATATGCATTTCTGGTCAGAGAGCAAAGTTCTGATGGGTTTAATGGTGCACTCAATGCAGTGCTTGGCGCATTCCATCAATTTTTTTTTAAAAATTGCATCTCTTATTTCTTTAAATACATTAATCAGCCTAGTGTAGGCAAAACGGATCCATCGGACAATGCAATAAACATGAATTATCATCTATCCAACACGCATAATGGCTTAAAAATACATAATAGCAGGTGTAGTTTAAATGATTAGTTATTACACCTGTGGTGGGTCTGATTCAATTGGGAAAAATCATCTTTAATAGGTTAAAAGGTTTAGATCACCAGGCTTTCCTTAAAGTGGCTGTAGAGCGGGGATGATGGAGTGCTCTGTCATTAGTAATTCATTTAAGAAAAACGTAGGGATATAGCAAAGAACAGCATAAACGAGCGAATCCAATTTAAACATCAGGTAAAGTAGAAAACACCTTTTAAAAAAGCAAGATAAATGAATTTGGAAGGGAGATGAAATTGATGTATTTATTTTAACGGGAATTTGACAAAGTCCCGGCACACTTCAAACTTGCAAAAATATGAACAATTTCTTTTAAAGTTTCCATTCACTAATTTCAAGCCATATAAAATAATACTGCCAAACACCTACATAAAGTATATTTGGGGCTTGTTTATGTTCCTCTTGATCTTTGTCTGAAAATGCAGGCGACAGGCAAATCACATATTTAACAGCATCGATATCACTACACCAGATGCAAAAATATAAAGCATCCAAACTAAGAGCCTCAACATAATGTGTTGAATAAGAAGGAGACCCAGCTAAGCAGCTACATGTAAGTGTGAACATATGAAAACCTCTCTCCTCCTGCCACTAATTTCTTCGGCTACTTTCTACTCTCCTCCGTCCGCCCAAGGGACTGGCACTGCAGTAAGGGGACAAGGGCCTGTCCAATCTAGACTTTCATAAGCCCCACACACATACACAAATTCCCCCCAAACCTTTACCCTCAATGCAAAGATTTCAGCACAGTAAACACTGACAGCGCAGTTGGTCTGCATCTTGCATTGCCCTGTTGTTGGCCCCTTTTCACGAACTTCATGAAGCAATTCTGCTGGCTTTGTCCTCTGCAGAGGGCCAGCACACACAGCACGCTTTTGCTGGAGGAAATGATGGGGTGCTTGCAGCCTGTCTTGTATCATCATTTGATTTTCTAATTAGGAGATGAATGTGACCATTCATGAGTTGTATTTGCGCCCAACAAAATTACATGAATTCAGACCAACTCTTCCACCTCCATGTCAACAATGTAAAACGGAAACCAGAACTTCATCACACAGGTTTCGGGGGTGCACCAGGCCAGGGAAAACCGTGGCACAGAGCACCTGGTGTGCAGTTGCAGCCACTTGCCGCTGCGACCACGACACCAAGGCGCTGGCTCCCCTTCTCGCAGTAAGCGCATCTCCAGTTAGCAGGGGCCGCTGCACAAAAACAGGAACGACAAACTCTGAGGAAAACAGAAGCAAAGTTTCTCACCGCCCAACTGCTGTGACCCTATCTTCTGCCTCCCTCTCCCAAAAAGCAAAGTGAGACAACCCTGCTACCATCAACTCCATGATTTTATAGAAATCTGGTGATTTTCACTGTTTATCACTTAAAGCTAGAGGAGAAATGGAGTACAAAGGGGAGTCCATTCTTGCCTTTGCAGTGTCTCTGCAGGAGTGACTGTCAGCAACCCGGGGGAAAACAAGGGGCTTCAGGTTGAAAACACCTTTGCCTCCAAGATGATTGGCCAACTGAGAGAGATTTGTGTTTGAGAGACCAGGGTTTGTAACTGTATAAATCAATGGAATACAGTATACTCAGGGGCTAGCTACGATGAAGTATGTGCTGTTAAATGCACTGTGCGGGGTAAGTAATCCCCAGTGAGAAGAATCCAGGTTCCTGCCGGTCCTCACGGGAGAGCTGCTTCCTGAGTGTTCTCCGCTCTCCTACAGAGACCTGCTCCCTGTCATCTCCAGAGCACACACTTTATTTCCCGCACAAGGGGGACGAGAGAGCAGAGCTCGCCTAATAACGAACCTGGGGTTTGAGGGAGCCTTCGCACTTTGCACCTGACATGTAAACCTGATGCATTGTCTCCAGTGACACTTACTTGGAATGTCACCAACTCCAGCACTGCTGCGTGCTACATACACATCTATCTCCTAAAATGTGAGCATTCATTAGCCATTTTTAAATATTAAAAGTATTCAAAAATTAATGACACGAAAAACCAAAGCCAGTCCCTTCTGACCCAGACAGATCACAACTAGATCACAACTAGAGGGCAAAAGAAAAGGACCAGGGTGCAGGTGAAACCCCACCACCACTACGGCCCCACCACACCCCTGCCACTCAGGATGTTAAATCGCTCGTGAGAAGTCCTCCACTCACACTCGGAGGGAGAGAGGTGCCCAGAACCCTGCTAACAAGCTGTAAACCAAGGCCACGCGAGTTTTAACAAGGACTGACTTTTTACAAGCTGGGCATTGCAGAGAATGAGAACCTCTTCAAAGGGAAAAGCTGCACTTTAGTAAGAAATCAGTACTCTGTCAGGAGTTCCTTGACAAATATGGTCATCGGTGGCACAAGGAAATAGTTGCAAAGCAGCTGTTAATCAGAGAAACACACCGCAGAACGCTGATGCCAGCACTCACGGCGAAAAGGCAGCGGGCTAATTATGAAGCCATAGATCTCACTAAAGAGGCCGTGTTCCCCGAGATTCCGCCGGCAAAGCGCTCTCGGCGCCAGGGTCCTAGGACAACATAACTCTGGTT